GGCTAACCCATATCTAATCCCGACACTGCTTTTTCGACTCTATTGTCTCTTCAGATTACTCTTGAATTGTAAAAAAGGAGTAAAACTGATTGCTGAGAATACCAGTCATATCACCACACTTTTACCATTACCAGAATATGTTCACAAAGCTTCTCTTGCATTGAGAAAACATATTATTTTACTGCATCATTCTCAAGGAGAGAGCTAAGGACTTGCACGAAGAGACTGCAGTGTTCTAACTATCTTAATATGTCTGCATACTCACATAATTAGAACAATGTACAACTATGAATTGCCAAAAATTCCGCACTTACTAAATCATCGTTTAAAAGTTAAAGAAAAATTCATTGTGAAATCAAAAAGATTCAAAAAGACCCATGCTTGTAGAAAAGTTCTGTAATTGTGCGTGACATTATATTGGCCCAATAACTGCGCGCCAAGTGAACAGTCCAAATTTTGCTTAACAGTTTATTAACAAATAAAAAGTGCTCAGACCCACGCCGTTAAAAGTCAATTAGTAAAAATATTTACATAGCCTTGGATTCGACACGTTTCTGATCACTCATCCCGTGGAATGAGAAGTTTAAAATAAACTAACAATAATATGATGAAAGTTCAATAACTTTAATTTTGTTATATTATAATCTAGAAAACGATTATTGAGTATCTCTCTCGGTGGTGAATGTATTTCAATTATTGCAAACATCAAAATTCGAGACAATGCTGTAAATTGTGTTTTAAAACTTGCAGAGATGTTCTACTTGACATTTCACTTTGCAATTAGTCACGGTATTCAAACTAACAATTATGTTTAGTGTTCTTGTTGGGTTACATTTCACGGAAAGAAAATCATATCTTGAAAAATGTGAAATGTGGTTTAGCAAAATTCGACTTTTTTGTGAACGAGTTATACTGATACCACAATGTATATGTTATGACGAGTCATTTTGATCGTTTATCTTTTTTAATGTTTCAACACATTCAAAACACAACACATTCATAAGAACTGGAACAACCATTTAAAATGTTTCAATAACATTAACGAAACCAAATCTAAAAAATAAAGCTCATAAGAGGACTCTATATGTTTATCGTTTTGATAACTGATTGTTAAAAACGTGAAAATAAAATATGTTGAAAACATACGGAAAGAATGTAAGACAACTTCAATGATGATATTTAAAGAAACTACTACACAGGTATATAAAGAGAATTCAGAAGAAAACGATGAAGAAAGAAAATTTTAGAATGTCAGAGGAATGCCTTTCGTTCAAATTGAGACCCTCCCCAATAAAAAGTATACATTATAATTAGAGATTTCATTTAGTTTATTTTTAAATTCAATATCATTGCTCTCGGTTCAGGCGATTTTCTGGGTAACCCATATCTAATCCCGACACTGCTTTTTCTACTCTATTGTCTCAGAGTTACTCTTGAATTGTAAAAATAGGAGTAAACGTGATGCTGAGAATACCAGTCATATCACCACACTTTTACCATTACCAGAATATGTTCACAAGCTTTCTCTTGTCATTGAGAAAACATATTTACTTTTACTGCATCATTCTCAATGGAGAGAGCTATAGGACTTGCACGAAGAGACTTGCAGTGTTCTACTGATCTTAATATTCTGCATACTTCATCATTAAAATTAGGACAATGTACAACTAGTGAATTTTGTCCAAAAATTCCGCACTTACTAAATCATCGTTTTAAAAGTAAAAAAAGTTTCATTGTGAAATCAAAGATCAAAAAGACCCTATGTTGTAAAAAGTTCGTGAATTGTGCGTTACATTATATTGGCCCAATACTGTGCGCAAGTGAACAGTCCAAATTTGCTTAACATTTATTAACAAATAAAAAGTCTCAGACCCACGCCGTGAAAATCAATTAGTAAAAATATTTTACATAGCTTTTGGGATTCTACACGTTTCTGATCACTCATCCCGTGGAATGGAGGAAGTTAGAAATAAACTAACAATAATATGATTGAAAGTTCAATAACTTACATTTTGTATATTATAATCTAGAAAACATTATTGAGTTTTAAGTGCTCGATATGCACCATTTACTTGTTATTCACGCTGGTAATGGTCGATGCAACGCAACGTGTGTTGCAAATTGCAAGAGAGTCTGCTGAGGTATTTATTTTATAATTTACAAACTACATCGTTTATTTTTTAAATCTGTTTGATACTTCCCGATCCAGCTCTTCCTTTGAAATAGTTCCTAACCAGCAATGGCACATTAATGGAGTTTGGTCAATGTTGTCTTTTAAAACTGTAATCTTATCTTGGCGTATTATATAGAGAAGAGATTTTAGGATTGTTTATCTCTTTGTTGCCTAATAGAATATAGGGAGCTAAAGTGTCACCAATTGTGCATAAAATGGGTTCGGGTCCTAGTTAGATCAATCATGAATTTCTCGTTTTTTGTATTTTTATATTGTTAGAATACTTCTGTAATTAATTTCCTGGAGGCAAGACAATTAAATCTATCAATATGAAGTGTGATTCTTTGTCATTGAAATGACGAATAGAGATAATTTTTTGAATTCGAACAGTTATTTATTTTTGTCAGAAAACATGCAGTACTGCATCACCCGAAAAACAGTTATTTCTAAGGTGTCTGAAAATATTTCAAGTAGCACACTTTACCATTCGGGTCAGTATTTTTCTCGGGATTTCTCTGCACTCTCACCGAAAGAACAACATTGTTTCATCACTTTGCACCTTGTCTCAGCGCTCGAAAACGAGCGAAGAGGTATAAGTGAACAAAGCCCTGAGCACCCACGCAGATCGAGAAACAAAGATTCATCTTGCTGTAGCCAATCTACAACGAACAACAAAATATATTTAATGAGCGGTGGATGATTCACGTGGTTGCTCTAAGATTTTTGATCCTTAAAAAATGAAGTTGTTAGTTTCTGTTGAGTTCTTTAAGATCCTTATTGTTCAGGAAATGAAAAATGTGAGCTAGGCAATGAAATCGTCGTTTTTCCATCTTCTGAAATTGTATAGTAGAAACAAAAACCCTTTAATAAAATACATAAAATGAAAAAAAGTAAAGTCCTTAAGTATTAAATGTGTATTAAAAACTATGTTTTGCGGTATTAAAGTTACCTAAAGTACTTTAAAGTATCTCTTCAAATTTGGAGATCAAAGTTTTTTCGAATAAATATCTTTTCCTGGAATTGTTGTTGTAAGGTTTTCTAATGCTTAGTGACTTTGTTAAATTAACATACCAGAAACAACCTGAAGTGATATTTTAGACACAAAAAAATAAATGAAATCTGTCGAAGCCACGTCTGTCCGATGAATTGTAATAAAATAATATATAAAATAAAATACACTTCTTCAATGGAAGATGATGATGCGAATCTAAGATAACACATTATTTTTGAACATATTTAACTGATTGAACTCAACAGTTCATCTTCAATAACAAGGAGATGAAAATAATTTCTAATCCCATCCTAACCCTATTTTTTTAATTTTATTATTTATTTACATTTTATAATGTGATATGCATTTTCTTGTTTTCTGATAGACATTTGTATTGTAAAAATTATAATTATTAAGATAATGTACAAATCAATCAAAATATTAATTGTGGAAAACAGGCTATTTATAATAAAAACTTTCACTTTTGACGTACCTTATTTCTTATGAAAGATTATTTCCTATTTTATAATTACGAATTCAACTGAACGATTGTCCTTATTTTTATAAACATTAGTACTATTTAAACAGTTTTAACACAAAGTTTGGAGTTGAATTTATACGAAAATATTTTTGGATACAATGAAAGATTTGTGCGAATGAAGATTCTCTATTGTACACCTATTCCTGGAACTAAATGTACAATGCATATTTTTATAGATATCTCTGAATGTACACCGATTCAACCATACGAAGCTGTTTAACGTCAATATTTTTCTCAATATTTTAAGTTGCATAAATGTATACTTTTTGGAAACCATATTTCACACTCAACGCAGTTGCACTTCAGTGCATATTAGTGATATCATTCCAAATTTCTTGCACCAAGGTATTTTATTTGAGGTTTTTTTTGCAAATATTAGAATTTACAGAAATATTTACGCAGGGGAACAGAGGAATAAATTTTTCCCGAAAGAGAGTGTATATCCAATTCTTCTCGGTTTTAATCACATCTGCTTTCTTTCATTCAAGAGGTCGCTCATCATATAGGTACACCAAAATTGATATTTTTATACCCCTTTTATTTCTTTGTAGCATTTCCTAACTACTATCCCCTTACCACTCATCTGTCCGAAAACGCCAAGAACCTCTTCTTTCCAATTGATGGTATTGTAAAAATCTGATCTGCAGTAATATAAATAATATATTAACGGCATTTAAAGAGAAAAACTTGAACCTATTGTACGATTGTTTCCTGAAACGAACAAAAAGAGTTCTTGAAGACATTTTTTCATAATCAATACACGAGGCATCCACTATGAATGTGAGAGCTTTCAGAGAGTACGTAGAGATATTGCAATGACATCCATCCCTCTCTTTGGGGCACTTCCGCACCAAAACTGCACACTCCCTACTCAATTCTAGCAGCGTGTAACAATGTTTGTTGAATGACCCTCAAGGACACGAAGCCGTCTCCACTTTTTCAGGGCAGTCCCATTCGCCCCGAATTTCGGACGCGAAGTGCTCTTTCGGGCGCCACCAATCCCCCCCGCCCGGGGGCCTAATTGTGTGTGTGTCAATTAATTCGCGCTTCCTGCGGCCGTTCGCGCACGCACGCGCCGCCCCCGCCGCCGCCGCCACCGCAGCGCCTGTCATGCTCTGGAAAGCGGGCGGGCTAACCCGAGTGTTGCGGCTAACAACCCGCGCGCACCCGCAGCCCCGCGCCACGGCTATATAAGCGAGGGAAGGAGGGCGAGCGGCAGTTGTCTGCTCGACTCCGCGTCGCTCGCTGCCTCCGGCTCCTCCGCTCTCCGCTCCCCGCCCCGCCCACCTGCCGCCATGGCGACGTCCACCCAGCTGCTGCGCCTGGCGCTGTGCGCGGCCGTCCTGCTCGCCTGCGGGCGCGGCGCCCCGGCGCAGGAGCTCGACCGGGAGAACGAGGTGGAGGACGGCGTCGGCGGCGGCGGCAGCAGCCAGAGCATGCGCATGGTGTACAAGCTGGTGGTGGACTGCCTGCAGAAGGAGGACATGGGCGTGTGCCTCAAGCTGAAGGCCCTGGGCTTCCTGGAGCGCGCGCTGGCCCTGCGGGCGCCGCTGCCCATCATGGAGTTCGTGACGCTGGCGCGGGACCCCAACGCCCCCGAGGACGCCGCCCCCGCCGGCCCGCCGCCCACCGAGGCCGAGCTGGAGGCGACGCTGCCGCGCGCGCTCGACGAGAAGAGCAGTCGCCTCGACCAGCTGCTCATGGACAAGGTGGAGCAGCTGCTGCGCACGCGCAGTCTGCAGCTGGCGCTCCCCAAGGACGCCTTCGAGGGTGAGCCTCCGACACGCCTCCGCCCGCCCTGGGCAGGGCGAATTTGCTTCCTATCATCTACACAGAGCCTTTTTTCTTTTTGCTGGGATCATGTAGTTTTTCTTTTCTGTCGTACCCTAGTTTTCCATTTCGTCTATTCTTCAGCATTTGTTTTTAATTTGGTCTTGTCTTTTCTTCTTCAATCGTGTTCTTTCTCCTTTCATTCTTCTCTTTCGTGTTGCTAATATATAATATTTGTCTTCTTGGCATTTTTTGAATTTTCTTAACTCATTGACACGATTAGCTTTATTGCTTTTCCTTGTTGGTTTCTCGTTGACATAGCCATTAAGTATCCTTTTAATGTATTATTAAAATAACAGCTGCAATAGGACGAAATACAAATATTTTAATGAAAATTAGCAATAGATGTTAATTGAAGTCCACTGCGTATGTTTATCGCGATCGGGGTGGGCGTTGCTAGTTTTGTGGAAGTGTCAAATGTTACAATTGTTTCGCACGATATTTTTACAAAAACTGTATTCAATTAAGTACACTGTTTTTGGCGGTTGTTTACTAGTCAGAGCTTCAAATGTCTTGCTTTTTTCACAATTCTTAATCACTTCTTTGCAACCAAATTTTGGCCATTTATGGCACTTTTTATTAATTTTATAGCAGTTTCAAATATACGAGTAATATTTATAAGTATTCTTCATTAAAAATAAAAATAATAAGCCAAATAGAAATTTAATTTCTACCACGTCTTAGATCGGCATTGCAAAGAGATTGTCATTTTGCTCATTTCTATCATTTCAACAACATTCGTATATGTTGAAGCTATCGTCATTTAATAATGTGACTTGAATGCAAATTAATGTTGTTTCAATATGAACATTGAAAATAATTATCATTTAAAGCAAAGTATAACTCACAAAAGTGAGAAAATGGGAGAACTATTAACTCTTAACATTGCTTTAGGGAATAAATCTTTAGTACCAAACTTGACGAGTTTCACAAATGAAAGTTCTCTCGGAGCTTTGTACCTAATATTTCAACCTGTAATAAAAATTTCCGGTTTCGCCCATTCAGCTTGAGACAGGTCTCTGAATGGACCGGATCGTACAGCAATTGCGGTGCGCTTCCTTACAATGTTGAGAGTTTCCGCGTCGAAAGGCATTAAAGTAGCTCATTTCGAGGTTTTTCAATAAATAAAGTTTTATTTTATCTTGCTTCTTATTTTGTAACGGTACGCGCTCGAGCTATCTAGAATAAGGAAACGTTACGTTCCAAGATATTGTTATAGACAATGTACCGAAGATCTTTTAATTTACTACTTCGTAAATACAATTTACAATACTAATAATAACAAATATAATAATAATAATAATAATAATAATAATAATAATAATAATAATAATAATAATAATAAATCTCATAGCATTAAATGTCGCACAATAATGACATTTCTAAAGTACATTTGGCGGAGAATTATTGTTTGGTATTCAACAATGCTGTGATCTTCATTCTTCACCACGAAATAGTTCGTAGAGAAGACATTGGCGGATAGAGTATAAGGATGATTAGACAAACTTTTCAGCCCTTTCATTAAAAGTAAAGAACTAAATAGTATTTATAAATTACAAAAATATTTTTTTTTAAATTTGTCATTGCTTTATAAAGCCCTTGATCCATTCTCTTACTCTAATTTTTGAAGTTCATTCTAGTAGTCGAATTTTAGCTTCCAACCAAGTTTTTTAAAATCTATGGCTAAATAGTGATCACTGAATATGAATGCATCTCATAAACATCTGATAAACATCTGATAAATCAGTGAATATGAGTACAAATATTGGTAAAGATAATGCATTTGATTTCAATCAGAATTGTAGTTTCTACGGCAAGTTTTAATTCAGAATATAGTTCTCTACAGTATCTTTTTTATTTCTTTTCATTAGTTTTTATGAGTCCAGTTAGCCCGCGCGTCGTCAATATGAATCGTTTATTTCAGAAACCCGTCTAACACCAAATTCGTTATTTCTAGGAAAGTGAGAAAAAGTCTCCCAATTTATCTGTTTTCAATTTTTTTATTTATTGAAGCACTTGATAAATGAATTTTTTTAATATAAAAATGCACTAAAAAACGTGTCTATCCCCTTGGAACAATAATCCTCCACTAATGAGTGCTTTAGATTTCGGCGTTTGAAGGGTTTCTGAAATAAACGATTCGTATTGAGATCGTAGGCTTCCGCGGCCGGAGTCAGTATTTACTAGGCTGTCCGGGTGATGCCACGTCGAAGGCTGAGTTGCCGACGTTTCGACCATCCTGTCGTGGTCTTCCTCAGGGCTGAGGAACCACGGCAGGATGGTCGAAACGTCGGCAACTCAGCCTTCGACGCGGCGTCACCCGGACAGCCTAGTAAATACGATTCGTATTGAGAGCGTAGGCTTCCGCGGCCGGAGTCAGTATTTACTAGGCTGTCCGCGTCCATAGCGAAGGTGCCCGCATTACGCCCTGAGGAAGGTCGCAGAATGGCGACCGAAACGTAATGCCCTCCTCAGGCATTACGCCCTGAGGAAGGTCGCAGAATGGTGACCGAAACGTCGGCACCTTCGCCATGGACGCGGATTCATCCGGAGTAAATACGATTCGTATTGAAGTCGTAGGCTCCCGCGGCCAGTCATGTTAAAGGCTGAGTTGCCGACGTTTCGACCATCCTGCCATGATTCATCAGCCCTGAGGAAGACCACGACAGGATAGTCGAAACTTCGGCAACTCAGCCTTCGACGCGGCGTCACCCGGACAGCCAAGATCACCCACTTCGTATTGTTGCGTGCCGCGTTGTGCAAGGGTGTGGTGTGTTGTGTTGCGCAGGTCGCAAGAAGAACAAGGGGTACGGCGTGCTGCTGGCGGGCGGCGCCGCCATGGCCGGCATGATGATGCAGATGGCCTTGGGCAAGATCGCGCTCATCGCCGGCAAGGCCCTCATGGTGGCCAAGGTCGCCCTTGTCCTGTCCGCCGTCATCGGCCTCAAGAAGCTGCTGGGCGGCGGCGGCGGCGGCGACTCCCACCCGCAGGTACGTACACACGCACACATCCACGGATTTAACGTGTGTGGGCTCGCGTCGCTTCCGTAGGCAAGGACTCACCCAGGCACAAGGTTCTCAAGTGCCTCTACATGAACACCAATACGTTTTCACTCATCCACTGCGGTTGCCCACTTGGTGAGAATCCCACCAGAAGACCTGTATCACATTTGCCAAATACATACGTGCGTGTTCTCTGGGACACTTTGCTTCGAAACTTAATATCTCATCTACTGAGATGGCTGACGCGTAATGACGGACCGTAGGTGCCCACATCATCACCATTTCACTCAACCATTGCGGTGGAATCGCCGATTCAACCAGAATGTGGCCTGTAGCATATATGCTCAATACACACTGACAAGACACATGTTTTACCAAACTCAATCACTCATCCACTGGGATGGCAGGGTTTATTCTGTCGAGCAAGTACCGCAGTCGCCCATACCGTCACTAATATTTTATTCACTCATTCACTTCGGTTGTAGCAGGGGAATTCCAGGAAGAGACTTGTGCCACACTGCCCAACGCACACGCGCGTGCTCTGAGGCTCGCCACATCACTAATTCAATTTTTCTCGTTCACTAATTCAGTCTTTCACTGTAATGTCGGAGTCGGTTCTGTCGCGTAGAAAAATTGCCACACTCGACAAATACACGAGCATAGACTTACCACGTTGAGTGTACACTGGTTCATGGCTGTACAGAAGAGTCGCTTTATTTGTGCTGAAGATGTCGTTTCAGCAAGCATGATACTCAACTTTACAGCTACACTTCTGTGTGACTCCAGCAGCTCGAGAAACATTGCTCTTAACAGGTCCACAATTTAGTGGCTAACATGTTAGCCACAACGGCGGACACTCTGTCCCTCTCTGACATCTTTACCCAACACATAAGCAAGTATTTCACACCTCTTTTGTTGGTCCTGAACGCACAGGGTTGGGAGATTTATTTTCAAAGAATTCGTCCCTCAGAGGAATTAGACGTTCTGTTCCCTACACAAATCTCAGAACTGCTAGTTCCTAGGTCTTAGCAAGAGAGGCCCCCAACACCATGTTTAGAAATTTCAAGTATGATAGAGTTTTGGTGTATCCAGATGTCAATTGGAGAGACGAGTGATTCTGATGCACTAAAATAGCCGTAGCATATGAATAAATATCAGATTCAGACATCCACCTATTTTCTTATCCACTTAGGGTATGGAGATGATTTTTCAGAAGGATTATGTAGATATGGACACTCCCAATCCTTTACACGAACACATTCACAATAGCGGGTACCACGACGCGTTTCCTGAAAGGAGAATTCCGGTTCTCTCTCTGATAGGTATTAGAAACTCCACTCGTGTTTTCTGAACTTCTCGGTGATACCCACATCGTTTGTGCCAAAAGTAGTAGAGTGAAAACACGAGTATAGATCTCAGTCCTCCCCTCACGTCTTTCACGATGCCCCAGTTAGATTCGGAGTCAACGTGATAGTGATCACCTCAACTTAGAAGAATTGGACTATGTACTTGCCTCCCTCCCCGAGGGTACTCGCCAAACAAATAATAGAACGTCCAAGAAAATACTTGTTTCCTTTCCGGCATAAGAAACATTACTCCTGCCCCCAGCGATACTTGGTTTAGGAGTACAGAATCCATTTTTTCCTACTTACTAGATTGATAGAGTGTGCCACAAGTTGCTTGGGCGTCTACCTTCTCACTTGAACACGAACTTCTATTTCTTCCGTCTTCAATCTATTTGACGCAGAACTGCGAGTTAATTCCCTGACTAGCTGTAGCACGCGTTCGGGTTTCGTGACTAGAACTTTTACAAATAGTAAAAATCCGACATACTTCCTTAGCATATTATAGAGCCTTCAATATAAGTTGCCAGAGCGGGTGAGACAAGTCCTGAGGAGGAAAATGATCCGCATCCGGGATATGAAATGTCGCTGGTAAAATTGCGATGTACGCGGTCAATGTTAATAGAAACGTGACTGTTTGGGAATCGCCACGTTTATTCGCAAGTCGTAGTTTGGAATAGGATGGAAAACCTGTGATCTTCTTTGGAAACAATGGCAGTGGCGTTGCAGGCAGTGTTTGCTTCAGTCATCAACTCATACTTGGGTCGCGGTTAGTAGTATTGGATTTGATGAAGGTCGCAGAATGACAAAAGAACGTTGGTTTTCTTGTTTAGAATGTGACGACCCCTCGACATTTACGATTGACCACATTTTACCAATCCATACTCCGTCACATTTCTGATCTACCCCTACTGTAATCCACACCTTCACCCAATCTCGAACTCAAATTCTTGCACCCATTGTATCAATTGCTTCTTACATACAGGCGAACCCCTTCTTATGTGACGCTTGTTTGCACAATCACATTCTGCCAAATCTCGGTCACCTTCCATCACGGTACGAAATTATAAACTATCTTACTGACTCTTTTCACGCAGTTCACTAAGCATATGCACATTTATTCACTCTCCTTGCCTTCCATGCATTCACGTCGTTAATCGCTTTAGCATATACGAAAACACTGCTCGTTGAATTTAGATATACACACACTCTTCTCCATTGAAGTTTCAATTGCTTTCACAAACTTATTTACTGAAAGAAATTAATATCATTGGACTAAGAATTTGAATTTGAAGGTGATGGTGACGAATCTCGTAGAAACAACATAATTACACTTTTTTACCTCTGGACTTCATCATAGATCCATCGTTCATTCGCATCTTCAGTAGACAATAAATGACAAGTGCCTGTGATTCATGGCTACTCCATCATTGAAATCTCCAGTTTTCTTCCTTTTATATCTGACGGACAGTAATGGCACATGACGCAAAGGTTAGATGCACAGCCTCAAGGACAGCGCTGGTCATTCCACTTGTAATGTTCGAGTCATGGCAATATTGATGTTTACTTCCTTTCTATCTGCCCTTCTTTTTCTTTTATCTTACGCACGTCATCATAATACTCACTTCGTTCATATCTACTCTCAATAAAACAGATTCAAAAATTGGTAGACTTAACCCCAAATACGGTAAGCAAATAACTGTTTGGGGCGGACAACGAATTCAACTACATTTTCTCGTTCGGTAAGCCTTTTTGTTTTTACAATTCCCACAATTGTAAGTTTCTTAATTAGTTTATTCTGCTTTCCAAAATCTTGAGTTGCGAAAATGTACATTGTAAAACGTAACATATACAACACAAGCACATTAGAATTCCAGAACAAATCAGACACTTTTTACAACTTTAAATTTCTTTTTAAATTTATGAAGAAAGAGGGACATGTTTTGGAATTTTTTCACAAGTTAGGGGTTTAAATATTGTTTGGTTCCAAAGCGCACTCTCACATTTATTATAATTTATTTATTCATTATATTTATAATGAATTAGTTTCACCATTTCATTTAATCACCTGTTTCTTCACGTAAACACCTCATTTTAATTCGACGGTTTCAAAAGCATGTTAGCAATTAATGAAATGCAAGTACTTTGGTAAACAAATGCCCTATTTGTTAAACACCTTCATAATTATAAGGCACAATTTCGCTTTTACATCGTTCTCACCCGGTAATTTTTCAGGCTGAGATCAGTTCTCGTTACTGGCAGCAACGCGCCATGAAATCACAACCATTGCGAGCTCCTTTGCCGTAGGATCTAAAGAAACTATTGCCG